AACACTGACATGCCGCAGACGCGGAACCCCTGCAAAAGCCCCTTCTGGGACGATTTCCTCTGGGTTCATAGGGACATGAACGGCAAGCGGAACCTGATGGATAGGGCAACCTTCGAGTTGTTCCTGTGATGACAGGATGACACTGCTATCCTTGAAGACAACGGTGTATTCCATGCCTTGCTGTAGCCTGTCCCAGATTGGGTCCTCAAGGTATGTCTGTGTGGCAGTTTGCAGAAAGTCGATGGAGCACCCAAACACTTTGAGGTCAGTGACTGAGGCCAGATAGTCCATAACCTGGTCCTCTAGGTCCTCAAATCGATCAAACTTTGCCACACTGAGAGAGACCTTGATAGTCACCCCCGAGAGCGTGGTCAGTACCAAGGAGCAGTCCATGACCGGCTCCATTTCAGGGGGAGTACTAAGCATGGATGAGTCGTCGAGCTCCATGAATGGCTGTCTACTTGCATTTACTGTTTGAGCCAAAAGCTTCTGACTCTGCTCATGGACTGTTCCTAGGGCCAGGGATGTTTCCTGAAGACAGATGCTAAGGCACCCACCTTGAACCTCACATGGACTGACCTGATGTTAGGAGTACTCTTGGTATAGCTCTTCATCAAAGGCGTCCGAATCGGGCCCATCCGCGGAGAGGAGCTCCACCCACCGGGGTTTTTCAAATTTGTCACACATGAAGAAAGCATTGTGCTCTGCCTGCACCCACTGTTCAATATCTCCCCAATCCAGGGGAGTAAATCGTTGCAGTTGCTCACACCCGCAGAAAGCACGGTTGCCTATGTCACTGAGCTCTGTCGGGATGACTACTTCTTGGAGCATAACACAATTAAGGAAGGCTTCTTTGCCAATTTGTGTGAGTCTTGGTGGTAGCCATATGCAATGTAAGGCTACACAGTGGGCAAAGGTGGAGTAGAGTAGGGCTGTGATTTCTGTGCCCATGAGGTTGACCTCCACAAGTCGTTTGCAGTTTTCACAGGCCCTCGGCCCGATATTGTGAAAGTCACTTGGCAAACAGAGCTGTTCAATGCCTGCTCCACAAAATGCACCTTCAGGCAGCGCTCGGGGTTTATTGGTGTGGTCCATGTCAAAGGTGATGGTTGTAAGCGTGAGGCAACTCTCAAATGCATATTTGCCTAACTGTGCCCCTGGTGCTAGGACGTTGCTGTCCTCAGTTTCGTGACTGACACCAACTCGACCTAGGGAGCAGCACTCCGCAAACACTCTTCGACTGTACTGGACACACCCCGGGGCGGCCACCTCTCTCAGTACATAGCACCCCTGGAAGGTCCCTTCTGCAAGACTTATGACCGAGGGTGGGAGCTTGACAATTTGCAGTAGCTGGCAACTCTGCCAGGCCGCAATTCCTACATGTTGGATGCCCATTGCCACTTCTACATGCCGGAGCGAGGGTGCAGCATAGAAGGCTCTGTCAGCAATGGGTTAGCCGGGACACGTACAGCTTTGGGGTAGCTTTCCCTTCCGTCCTCTTGGAACTGCCAGATGGAGTGTCCATCTACCATGCAGGGACGAACTACAATTTGTAGTTGCGGCCGTTGCAGGAGCGCTGTGCGAAATGCTTCTGGCAGGGGTTGCTGCGTGTGAAGGTCGAGCAAATCTAACTCACAGCCGAAGACATCCAAATCAGAAACTGTCGGCAGAAAGCAAAGAATGTCATCTTCCAGCTCTGCCACATCCTCGTACTGGGTGAGATTTGCTTGCATAGTATATTCCGTGCCTGCTATCGTGACCAAATCAAGACTGACCTCATAACGGTCTTGGTTAGGCGGCATTGTCGCATAGGCGGCAGTCCGAGCGTTTATGCTCGAGTTGCTTGGGCCAAAAAACCGAGGTAACGGATATGTTGTCGTTGCGAAAATCATGATGACATTTAGACAACAAGAATTAGGGTGGCTAAGGCTACCCATTTCATGGAGGAGGTCCAGTTACTAGGAAACGGTCACTGTGCGGGGAGACTCTTACTGGAGACCGCCCTACTGCCACCACCCATAAGGCGTGGGCGGTGGGGGAGGCCTGCTGTGAAAGGAAGACCCTGCTGCAGACGAGGAGCTTCCCGCTCCTGGAGGAGGGACAGTACGGCGAGCTTTGTTACTTGGGTCAGCGGCTTCCTGACTGTAGCCCATGTGGTCCCTAAGCGCCTGCTTGTGGCCTGCGAGCTGACTTCGAAACTTGGAATTCCCAGTGAGCCATGCGCAGAGCTGATCCCATCGGCCTTCCGAGTAAAGGAGTGGGCCATATTGGTTATATGGGCGATCTTCCATTTTAGGAGTGAAAGGATATCCATGGCAGTAGTAGTTACTGAAGATAGCACTAGGAACTTTGGTCAACATAAAGCGGGGAGACAGCAGATTCCACCCTGTGCGGGACATGGCAACTCGTAGCCCGGTGGTCAGCCACTGAGCTACTACTGTACTTTCTGCTTGGATGTTCCCTTGCTCAAAATTGCCAAGCGCCGTTGCTAGCCTAGAATAGCCTACGCCGAGACGTCCGTATCCCTTGGCAAAAGCATAGTTGGGTTCTGCTGCCATGTCCTCATCCTCAGTAGCTTCCTCAGTGTCAGCTTCTGGTGGTTCAGCAAGCCCCACTGGCACCGGGAGCGCAAGTCTGGGCGATCGCTCAGCTGACCCGGTAGCATCAGAGGCAGAGTCTTCTTCTGCAGGCAAGTCTGCGGCGGGGTGTCTGGCAGTCGCCAGGTCTCTCCACAAGGGGACTTCGATGCGCAGCCTCAGCTGCAGAAGGGAAGGAAACGAGAAGGCTTGTCCCAAAGACGGGTCAAGGGCACCACTAGAGTAAGCTCTTTCAGCCCAGGAAGTATCCGGCATTCGGGGGTATCGGTCGTAGGCAATTTCTTTTGTGTGCACTCCCACCACGAGCAGAGGGTTATCTTCAGCTCCTTCTTCTTTGGGTCGGTAGCCGTAGCCCCCCTTCACCTCTGCGGGCGTGAAGCCCTGCCGCTCCATGGCTACAACCAGGTCGGGCAGGATCTGTACTGGGAGATAGACAAAGAGGTCATTGGTGGGTAGCGTCTGCTCGCCATACTCCATTCCCCTAACAAAGGACATGATGACAGTTTGCATAAAGGTGAGGGCATCGACATCTTTTTCCTTTGTTTTCTTGCGATGAAGGCAAGTAAGCCATACTGCCAGAAACGGGGGTTTGCATAAAGGGCGAGCTGTTTGTGGGTAATGAAAGGGCATGCTGGGTGTCCACCCTTCACGAATGTGAAGAGGTTGGACAGGGGAGCAGCAAAGGCTTCACTGATACGGAGAAGGTCTCCGATGTAGGCTTGGTTGATTTCATCAGGAATGTCCACAAAAAAGGAGTTTTCTGCCTAACCGGGGTTGGGAATTGAACTGGGGTTGGGACTTGGGTTGCCTTTGGACTTGACAGACTGACATACATGCATATGGTGGAAGGATCAGTCTACAAAGTGGCACTCAGATGCTATTAGACTATTAGACTGACCAGAAGGAGGTACCTGCTGGGAGCATCATGGTAAGATGTAACCACAGATGCCATGTGAACCACTGGCCCAATGACCGACCACAGGGAAAAAAAACGTTTTGTTTAAATTTTTTCATAATATAAAAATTTAAACATATATATTATGTTCTAATCTAATTTCATCTCTCAGATTGTGAAACCACCTGGTCCTGGACTGGACCTGGAAGATTTGCTGGGCCCAGGGAAGCCTGTGTCAGCTCCAGTGTCGCTCGCTTCGCCCGAACAATTTTTTGATCAGTGCGCCCGACTGGATCATTGTGTTTTCACGATTCCTCAGCTCATGTTGCGCCTTGCTGATACTGGGGATATGGTGAAGAATGGCATCCAATTTAAGGCGAGTGCGGCTAGACTAAAAATGACTTAAATATAACTCTCGGAGCGCCTCTTGCGCCAGGGTAGCAAGACAGATGTTTCTACGCAAGGCTCGTCTCGGATTTTTGGCAAGCGATGGAAGGATTGTTCTTGACCTTCAGGCCAAGACTACAAAGTCTACCCAGAGAACAGAGTGAAGGCTCCCTTGAGCCACCTCTGTCCAAGTCTGTGTAAGAGTCATTGCTTTGCGGTCCTGAGACTGGCAGGCGTTGCTTTTAGCCGGGAAAGTGCAGAGTCCAGATTCTGCGTTTCTTTTCTACAAGCGTTTGCAAGAAGGCAGGTATGTTGAGAAGAACTGCGTAATTGGCAAGCTTTGTGAGGTCTCACGCGCTTGTGGGTTTGCAGCATTCTTGCCTTAGAACTCTCTAGCATTTTTTGATGACTTTGGCAGGTTCCTTGCCACTTCTGCAAGATCGCCCCTGTTGTGTCCTCTCAGCAGATCCCGATTGTGATGAGCGTTGGGCACAAGTGTCCATGCCTCAAAGAAGTGTTCATGCCAAGTTAACATCAAACATCAAAGTTGTAGCTTGGACTTAGGTGCTTGTTCGACAATGGCGCTGTTCGTTTTGGCGATTGGTTGGGCCGGTCAGACCGCCCCCTTGACCGTGCCAGCTTTTACGCAGAAGATTTTGAATACTTCGGGAAAGTTTTGATCATCGCCCCAAATGAAGGCATGGTTTCATCAGATGCGCCCCGCTTTCTTCCTTCTGAGAAGGATGCCGTGCCTGTGATTGAAGTTTCTGGCGCAAAGTACCGGGCCCTTTTGCATTCTGACGCGCAGAGGGCCAAGTAGATTTCTTTGCCCCGGTTGCCATTCAGAATGTTGCAACAAGGGCAAACTGGCATAGATTTTGTTCTGAGTGATGGCATGCGTCCCTGCCTTGAGCTGGGATGGGGCAGATGGAGGAACATCTAAAACGTTTTGCGATTCGTGTTGCATTCATGGTATGCCAGTTTTTGCCATTGCGATCGTTTCATTTATTATAGCTCACAGTCTTTCAACACGTGGCACAATGTGCCATCATACCATAATAGCTCGCCTTCGGTATGCACACTGGGTTTGTTTTCCTAATTTTTGGCTCAGGGAGCACAGCCAAGTTTGAGGTAAGATTTTCCCAAATGCCTGTCAGCCAAACCTGTGCAGCGACCGAATCGGAGACCGAAGGGTGCCAGCCGACGATGCCTCAAGCTCAGTCGTCTCTGGACAAACCAAACGGTTCACTTTTGAGCTGGTTTTGTTCGTGAAGATGCCAGTCCTTGTCTGTGGATAGATAGCTGTAGGTACAGTTTCGATCCCACGATTCCAGCTTTGAACACTTTTCGGTTTAGGCCGATGAAGTCCCACACTTCGAAGCCAAGATCCGGGAAGCGTTCGATGGGGGTCAAGACTGTTATGAAGGCAGGCAGCAGGATTAACATGACGTTCAATCCTGTTCATTCAGGGTCTTGAAGTTAACAAGCAAAGTTTGCGATCAATACTGTGAGTTCTTTTGTACTTAGTATTAGACTTCTGGATTCAGCTGTTTGATTGTCACTGTGCAACGTCTATGCAAAGCGACCCGCTCCGAGGCTTTGAAAAAGGGTGGGGCATCACGTGGCCGGAAGCCCAATCAGTCAAGCAAAGGGTTTGTTTGGTGCGCCCGTGGGGTTCAAAGGCTGCCCAAATTTGGAACTGCCACTGTCAAATCGAAGCAGTCCTTGTTTGTGACGCCTGTGCGCATGGAGCTTACCAAAGTTGCCAAGCTCAACTTGAAGGCCAGGGTCCAAGACAGAATGGCCCAGTGACTTGCGCAGCCCGCCAGGTGGTTGCCCCCAGTTCTTCATGCAGCAGGCGTGTGAGCAAGAATGGCAGGAAGAGGAAATCTCCAGATTTTTGTGGAGATCGATCGTTTCAATCCTGGAGTTCCATTCGTGCAAACCTTACGTGTGCGTATTAACATAATAATGCCTTCCATCAATGTGCTGTTGACCTGTGTTATCCAATAAACTTTCAATCTACTCTCTTGAGGTGTTTTTTCTGCGACTACCCGTACTAGTGACAAACCTTCGCAGCGTGGAATTTGGGTCCGATGCCCAGCTCATTGAGTGATTGTTGGCTATTCGTTGAATTCTGAAGTGAATCTCGCAGGACTTTGCCAACCAAGTCCGCTACAGCTGTGACTACATCGATGCCTGTAAGAAGTTCAACCAAAAGCCAGGGAGATTTCTGAACCCTCTGGCTGGAGAATTCTTCTCAGGCTTGGATTGAAGTTGGCTTGTTTTACTTGAAGGCTGTAAGTACTGCATACAGCGACATTGTTGTTTTCCCTTTTTGGTTCAAGTTCTGGGCAATGTTTGCCAGGCTTGCCCTCGGGCTGGACGTCGGCAAATGCTGGCGCTGTGAACAAGGAGAAGTTCTTCAAGCAATTTCCAGACATGCAGCCAAACGCAAACCAGGCAATGCCCTGATCCCTACAGTGATTCATGAGTGAATTGTGTTCTGACGATTGCTGTTGGTGGCAGGGCTCCAAGATTGGAGTGATCGCTATGTTTGCCGGCTGCGGAGGATTGGAGCTTGGCTTGAGCAGGCGAGAACATTGGACGTTGCGCAGTTTTCGATGTTAGCTTTAATTGTTTTATTTCACTGTGACATTTGCCAGATACTTGTACCCGACTGCGTATGTGACGAGCTCAATTCTTTTCTTTGGCTGGAGTCGACATTGTGGCGTGCGTGTGTCCTGTCAATGTTCTCAGGTTGAGAAGTCGGACTATTGCAGAAAGATCTTGCAATTGCGAATGGATGAGGGGTTACTGCACCGGGCAGAAATCCATCCGGATGTTTGCACGTTTGATGCTTCCAAGTCTTCCGCTGACGGAGCGGGAGGAGGATTTCCTTGCCAGGCAGCCATCGTGCATTGTTGTAAAGATATGTTGTTGGTAGTTCGAACGAATTTTGCCAGGGAGTCTCCACGGCCTCCATCCAGAAAGGCTTGAAGGACCGGCGGACTCAACTGGTGACGCACATCTTCCGCGTGTTTGACACCCTGCCGTCCCAACACCAGTTTCAGGCTTAGTTTAATTTACTTGGCGCTGTCAAGTTTCCAGTGTCTAGTGAGCATTTTTGAGGTTGAAGTGCGTGTGTACTGTTGTGTGCGACGCAGTGTTCTTCAGTGTTGAAGCCAGGCGATTCCTCTACTTTGAGAACGTGAAAGCGATCTTGGGGAAGAAACAGAGCATGCGATCTCTGTTCAACTACATCGTGCAGGCCTGGTTTTAGAATGAAGTGAAGGCCGCGCACAAGTTCAACGCGCAGGAAACTTCTGGGCGTGGCTTAACGTTGCATTGGGCAAGAATATCGCTTTCAAATGTTGGACTTGCAGTTGCTTGCCTGCTTTGGATTGAGAGTCGCAAGATGACTTGTTTTGCTGTAGTTGTCACAGATGAGGCTCACCGGGATCGGGTGTTCTTTTTTGGTGCCAAGCCAAATGATCCCATCGTGAAGGCCTGCTTTGTGATTTTTCCTCGCGGTTCCACAAGGGATATGCCAGTGGCCATGCATTTTGTTCTGTCAGGCGTTGCGGGTGGAGCCCCTTGCAAGTCTCTTGGAGAAGCCCAGTGTGTGGAACGAGCTGAATAAGGTCCCGCAGCATTTGTGGCTGTCGGAGGAGCAGCCGTGTGACCACAATGAGAGGATGGGTGTGCTAGGCAATTTGGTTGTGCCTGCTTGCGCACGATTGGGGGCTTGTGTGGCGTTGGGCATGGCTATCTCTAACGCGCCTGCTCCATAGACGTCGCTAGCTTTTTCATAATTAGAAGTGTCATGCAGACTCGAGTCAGCCAACCAATTCAATTAGCCACGCGTCAGCGATTGGCGTGTGGTCTTGGAGACTGCTTCATGATGAGCTTCGAAGGCAGCTGCAAACTCGGTAGACAGGGTTTTACTGCGCTTGTGCACGCTTTCTTGAGGACTCCAGCTTAGATAACAATTGTGCGCTGATTGTGGCCCAGATAGCCTTTTGCTCGGATGTGCTGCATTCAACTGGCATTCTGTTGATGATTTGTTTGAAGAAGGTAGATTTAATTTCCACAGTCTTTCCATTGATACGATCAACTTGTCTCACTGCGTTGTTAGACTTTCTGAAGCTGGAAACTAGACCTTGGTTGTTTGTTTCCCATGGCAGAGCCACCGCAGCAGCTGTGTGGGAAGCGTAAAGCTCCTGACCGTGGCGAGCCGAAACTTGCAACTGTGGCCACGCAGTGGCCACCTGGGAGAGTCAGAACTACAGGTCTGAATGCAGTGTTGCCACTCGATTGTGAACGTGCATTTTTGTTTGCGGTTTGAACTCGTTCAAGTTCCAGCAAGTTCAGCCTTGCGGCCAAGGGTGCCAGTCAATACCTTCGTGTTTGCAAACTGGCACGGTCAACGGTTGGAGTCTCAATTCAATGTTACCACCTTGTGTGGTGTGTCATGTCCTTTTTATCTCTCCGTTTGCTGATTCCGGGCTGCTGTGGCAGTGGCTTAGGTGGCAGTGGTGCTGGACTAGCCGTGAATGGTTCCCGTGTGAGAACAGCTTGCGCGGGGAGGACTCTAATCTTGTTGTGAGTAGTAGGTTGGGTACGGTATTGAAATAATGGTTCTGAAAGCATGGCATCCGCCAAGGAGGAGAAGAGTGGTCCGCCCGATGCTTCCCTGAGGGGTACTGGCTAAGCAGTATTCGGTTTTTGAAGCAGTGACAGTGACTGCTGGCAAACCTTTCACTCAGGAGCAAACACTGCTGGCTGCCAGTTTTCCAGCTTTCCTTTTTGACAGTCATGTAAACACTCACTCAGGAGATAATATTGTTATGCAGTACATCGGAAATGTGTCCAAATTGAATTTATGTTAGCCAACCCACAGTCACTTCTGATTCGATTCTGCTTTGTGCTCATCCCAATGAACGCCGGTGTTGTCTGCAGCGAGCGCAATGGTTTGTTTCAAGCGAGTTATTTTGAAAGTACCATGCCCTTCGCAGTGGGTAAACTCCATTGTCACTGCAATTGTCAGGGCTCTTGTAATCGATGTTGTTAAACATGCTTAAAATCTAGTTTTTTTAGTTTGCAAACTTCGGAACCCTCATGACAATGCCTCGTTCTACGCGCGTGCCTTTGGATGCCACCAGCTTCAATCACCGAGTTGACTGATTCGGAGCCAGATTGCGACGCCGCTCCAGCAGCCCCTCTTAGAGGTGTGAAGAGGAAGCGGCTTGATTTTGACGACCCTTTAGCCCTTCAAGTGTTGCTTTCACAGCCGTGTGCTTCTCAAGGATGCACCAAGCGTTGTAAAGAACATTTTCGGAAGAGCACTGAGTTCACCCGTTTCCTGGACTTCCGGAAGAAATGGAAAACGTACCACAAACTCGACCGTGATCAAATGGCAACTTGTGTTGCAATGTGCGTGGCGCTTTGATGTTTTCACTGTCAACCTAGTATTGTTCGAAACAATATTTGCGCCTGGGGTTCACATTCCTTTGTGCCTTCAAAGGTATTTGACGAAGTCAAGGCCGTGGAGAAGGATCGAGAAGAGTCTGGTAAATCTACGTGCAGCTGGCATTTTTTGGGGCACCCCGTATGCTTCAAGTCGTGGAAACAGTTGCATGGCATTGGAAGCCAAACTGAACTTGGCTTACGGCTGCTTTCGTGTTGCTGACACTAATCATGACATTATGTTAAATGTCAAGTTGACCAGTTGACCAGGAGAGGCTAAGGGGCCACTTAGTGGCCTCTCAACCTCTCTCGGGATGTTGGCTTAGGAAATTCGCGATGTGAAAAAATAGCTCGAGCTGTTCGTGCAGGGCGGCAGGCAGCCCCAGTCGATCTCAGATACTTGAAGCTGCGGAAGTATGATCAGCCAAGAAGTGTAGAACTCACATCAGATGTGGTTACCTTCCTTCAAAAAGTCTAGTGTAGCGTGGCTGAAACTTTGCCTGACGTCCGGGATGACACTTTGTCAGATGGAGAATGCGAAGCTTCTGTTCCAAGCCTTGATGTTCGAGCCCAGACGCCTGATGTTGAGCCTTATTCTGATTTTGGTCTTGCTGCCCAAGTCAGCGGTCTGTCAGCTCCTAGTTCTAAGCGAGCATCGAAGCCAAGAAAGATGAGAAAATCCATACCGATCAGGCCAGGAAGAACATCAGCCGACTGTGAAGAGCGGTTCTTGCCCCCAGGAACCATGAAAGAGTACTACACACAATACACTCGACAGTCTTCCCTGGAGAAGCCCGCGTCATTCCCATGTTTCTGGCGTGTGGCGTGGCCATGATAGTGCGATAAGTTTCTGTTATTGTTTCAATGTAGATCTTCTTTATAAACAGGAACTGTTTGGTGCATCCCAGATTTTATTGCCGATTCAGGTTTGGGCAGCGAACTTTTCGTTCCTGCGATTTAGACAGGCTTCCTCTCACAGTGTTTGCGCCGAATGCTTCAAGCACAAGCAGCTCATCAGTGCATTGTCCCGGCACTTGAGTGCCAGGCGCACACAAGAGGGCCTTTACCACCAACACCTGGAGGATCATTTTCGAGACAGGGTGACGTACTGGGAAAGCAGAGGGGAGAGCCGAGCGCGGCACAGCTCCATCAGCATTATAATCGATGGGATGGACCAAGGAAAGTTTGCAATACCAAGGCATAAAAGCGCCCATACCAAAGCTCTAGCAAACTTTAGCCGGCCTCGGCTCCATGTCACTGGAGCCATAGCCCATGGCTATTTCGTGTCAATGTACGTGACAGACAGCGACGTGCCCAAGGACAGCAACACGTCGCTGGAAATTATATCCCACAGCCTCGACCTACTCAGCAAGTACACCGACTTGACACGAACCGATATAACAATCCAATGTGACAATACTCCACGCGAAATCAAGAACAACCACACGCTCCGATATTGCGCTGGCGCCGTCAGTTGTGGGAGTGTCCGCTCCATCAAGGTTTGTTCCTTGAGGAGCGGACACTCCCACGAAGACATCGACCAAGTTTTTGGTCAGTGTGCGAGTTTTCTGAAGACTGTGCGCAGCAGATTAACCCCGGATGACTTTGTGGACAGCTTGAGAGAATTTGTCCAAGATGTTCTTTGCCGCCCCTTTGAGAAAGACCGCCACGTTTGGAAACTGGACACTGTCCGCGAGTGGTCCCTTGGAATCTGGTAGCTTTTCCCAGTGTGTGTTCGTGGCCAGTTCCCATCTTGTGACTATCATTGTTCTTTTTGTGACAAGATGGGTTTGAAAAGCTGGCGCCAATGTATTCGACCATCCTTTCCTGCGAAAAATGACCCCCACAAGTCCGGCTTTCACCCTTCAAAACCTGTGTTTCAGGCAGGTTGACCTGGACTTGCGGGGGTCTTTTTTCGCAGGCCGACCCAAGTGGAAAATTGCAAGCTTTTGGTTTTGAAATTGAACATTTTTTCCCAACACCACAAGACTGCGAGGAAAGGGCTGGACGTTCACAGCCAGATCATTGAAGGGTACCTTCAGTCAGAACCTTCGGTCATCCAGAAGGACAAGGATGTTGTGGTTTGGCTGGACATCGTGCCGAACAGGACGGGTATAGATGGGGAAGCAGTTATGCAAATGTACTGTTTATTAGATCCCCTACAAATGCCTCACCCGAGGTCGAAACCAACAAATACATCTACTCTAAGATTGGGTTGGGTGTTCTCCTAGCTCGTTCCTAGCTTCCCAAAGATTTCCACCGAGATTTCGACCGAGTTGTTCATACATTGGTAAAAACTTGGTCCAGCACCAAAACCTCTTCCATATATATTTTCTGTAAAATGGTCGTTCCCAAGTCAAGACAGGGGTTGACCAAATTTTACAGAGGATGTTCTTATCAAAACTTGCCCTCCGGCACGCAGAGTTTGGACGCGCCTGTGTGCGGAGACTGCTGTCGAACAATTCTGACATTCCCGTTCGCTATTGCGGCATCATCCAGAAGGGCTTCAAGTCGTTGCGAGAGGCCCTTCAAAGTGAGGTGTACAAGTCTTGGGATGAAGCTTCAACAACCATGCCGAAGGAACGGCAGCGAGAGGGAAACCGGAATTGAGTCTAGGACCTCGACTTGCAGCTCGTGGCTGTAACTGGGGCTGGCAAGCCTTGTTGGCCCAGTGCTGTGATGAACAAGTTCGACAACCTTTCCAAAGAGCATGGTGAACTTCTGAAGCTGAAGGCGTCTTTTGAACTAGAGTTCGGCGCAGATGCTGCGGGGCCTATGTCAAGTCCTTCAAGTTCCGGTGTCCATGGAGACCGGGTCTCTGGCATGTGTGACTTCACCATTGAAGGTGGGCGACAGCCTGTTGATGTGACCAGATCCGTTGAGCTTCCGGCAGTGGCCTTGGATGAGTTCAACCAGAAAGAAAGGCAGGGCCTCAAAGGCAAAAAGCGAATTGCCAAGACAGCTTAGGGCCTAAGGGGCCTAAATCTTTGTGGAAGGTGGAACCTGTCCTGTGTTTTTTCCTCCGGCTGCACCCTTACGTAATTGCTGCGCAGGCTTGGGATGACTGTTGGCAAGAATGGCAAGCCGAGCATCGCCATTTTGAAGGAGGATTACAGCGTTTGGTTGGTCAACCCATCCATGAATGTCATGAAAGTGACAGCTTCTGAGTTGTTCGGGTTCGGGACAGGCTCATTTGCTGACGCTGTCATCAGCCACTCGATGTTCGTTGACTCTATATTCATTTTTGCAAAGAATAGTAATGGTTAATCTTGGAGAACTGAGGGCCCAATTCCTTAGTGTTCCAATGCCAGGCATCTCTGCTTGGCTTCCACTCATCAGGTGAAGAACAGGCTCGATGCGAAGGCAGTGGTCTTGTGTGGCGATTGGAGTCTGATTTGACGCTTGTCTCTTACCAGAAGAAGCCCATGA